CGTTGTGCGGTCTGGTTCAGGACATGGGCAAGTCTGTCCTGGTGGGGAACATCAACATGTGGGTGCACCGCATGGAGAACATCCTTCAGTGGCAGCAGCAGCTGGACAGCATCCAGATCAACAGGGTAAGCATCTGCTCACAATACCAAATTCAAAAGGGGCTCTGAAGTGCAAATTTCCATTGTATTTATGACTTTTTTCCCCACCGCTTCTCTCCTTCAGCCCACATCTACTGGCATGTCTCTGACCGACCTGCCTGCCAGTCTGCAGCTGAACATCATGGAGCGGCTGTCAGATGGCAGGGACCTGGTCAGCCTGGGCCAAGTGTGTCCTGAGCTGGGGAGCCTCACCGAAGACCGGCTGCTGTGGAAAAGACTCTGCCAGTACCACTTCACCGACAGACAGGCATGTAGAAATTTATGGCTGTAGATAATAATGCACACACACACACACTTGCATATGTGGAAGGTTCAGATAACCTACATAGTACAGACGATTAAAATAAAGAGGTTAAGCATCTCTGATAAACTAGACTGGAAAACGGGAGGCCGCATGGGAGCAGTGTGACGCTGCAGTAACCCAACACCGTGTTCAAAAGCCTGTACTTAATAAGTGAGTGAGAGAGTCTCACCTAAAAGCTAAAGTAGGTTACAGTCAAAGGTTTCTACAGGTTAAAGTGGTTTAGATTCAGTTTGTGTATGGAGGCGAACCCATTCCATTAGGGCTACTCAAACCTTCCTCTTATAAGTGTGTGTGTGTGTAGAAGTGATTGTGGCCCCGAAAGACATGATCAAGAAAGCTGTCATTAAAGTGGATATTTTTCTCACCTCGGGTCACATCTTTAAAGTCTGTTTTCCCTCTCTTTAGATCCGTAAGCGCCTGATGGTGTCAGATAAAGGTCACCTGGAGTGGAAAAAAATGTACTTTAAGCTGAGCCGCTGCTATCCTCACAGAGAGCAATACAGTGACACCCTGCACTTCTGCTCACACTGCCACATCCTTTTCTGGAAGGTACAATGTTTTTCTCTCGTCACTTTGCACTTGATCAGTGGATATAAAAAAAACTGATGGTTAAATGTTGAAACAATAAGCGTCTAATCCCGATTTGTTTCTCTTCTCAGGACACGGACCATCCCTGCACAGCCAACAACCCAGAGAGCTGCACGGCATCTCTCTCCCCTCAAGACTTCATCAACCTTTTCAACTTCTGATCCCGACCCTGAATCCAGACTGTACATACTGTTACTGTACATAGAAGTGTTTGATATTGTTTTTTTTTCTTTAATATCACAATCAATTCCATGATGTATATTTGGTTGCGGTATGACTGGAGGGGCGGGGAGGCTCAGGCAGTGGGACAATTATGCAATCGAGTTTTTCTTTTGAGCGAGCACTGAGGCTTGAAAGTGAGCGAATGTGACAGAGAGCAAATGCGATGTTGGAGCAATCAGCCTGTGGATAGAAGACAAAGGGAATGCTCAGCTGTTGGACTTTAGTCTTAGTTCAATGTGTTTTTTTTAAAATGACACCTCCAAAGTAAACACACCTTAGATTTGTGCACTTATTTTTTTCCCAGTTTGAAGAGTTTCATTTGTTTTTTTTTTTTCTGTTATTATTATTATTTTTTATTTAGCTTTTCAAACTTTGTATTTGTTACTTTGAGCACAGGAGATAGGATGATTAATAGATTTGTTTAAAATCGGGATTTTTTTTCAGTGTGATGTTACACGGCCTGCTTACATGGGGAAGTGCAGTGTGTTTAATGTCCAGATGTAGTTTGCAATATTATTGTATTTGGGATAAGGGAAGAGTACGTCTTGATTTGGTGCAGTACCGAAGAGAAAATGAATGTAAACAAGAGTCGGGAATTACTTGTTAGACCGAGGGATGATTCTATGTTGACACACCACAGTATCTTTTCTATTTTGTTTTTGTTCTTTTTCACTTTTATATGGATTTGATATGCTTTTTTATTGTTTATTTTTTGCTGTGGCTGCTATAGGGGGCAGCACCTGAGTGCAGTATTACCAAAGATTGTAATCAAAGTCAGTATAACAATGGTGTGTGCCTTATCATGAAACTTGAAACAGTACAGGTACAACTTATGTCGTGTTTGCAATGCTTTCAGATACTGATGCCGGTTTTTTGGGGGGGAGGGGTTGTATCTTATCATCAACAAGTGCCTCAAGATCTGAGGCTGTGATACCAAAGTCGACTGTTTAAATCATCTTATTTTCTGATAGCCTCCTGCATGATTTTTTTTTAAAAATCACCCAGCTGATTGTGTTTACTTATTTATTTAATGAGATTCTGGCAAGTGGCTCAGCTTGCACACTTGGGTTTGAAGGAGTAGCGATTATTAGCGTAAAGGTACAGTTTGACCCAGACTTGCCTCTATCACTGCTCAGACAGTGAGGAATCATGTACATGCTATGCAATGCATTTTGTTTATGTTCCGTTGAATAAATAAAAGAAGGAAAACCAAACCTCTGGCAGCAGTATTATGTAGTCATCAGGCTTAAATGCTGAACATGTGAGAGTGTGCCAACCTTCTTTTAAGAGCATTACGTAGCACATTTTCTTCAGAGTGGGCCTCTTGGTGGATATGAACAGGAGCTTCACAGATTTATGTTGTCAACAGCAAATGTGTGCCCTCTATTGGACTACACAACAAACTGCAACGAAGAAAAATGTTGGTGTATGTACAATCTGCACAAAAATCAGTGTTCATACTTGAGTGTTTCTTACTGACACAAACACCTCAGGCATCAATTAACCAGCGAGAATAAGAAGATCTGTGATTAGTTAAAATCCCTCTGTAATTGTTGATTTAACCCCCAAAACGTCATCTCTCTGTATCAAAATGACACATTTGAAAAGAAGAAAAACCATTACTGTTCCACTTGTTATTTATGGAAGTCCTTAGTGCTGATCAGCAATCTAAAAAATATCAAAGGCAGTGTGATTTAATGTTAATGTGCCTGCAGCACCCTTTGGACTGCTGGCCAGTGCTAATGAATGGTATTAATAGAAAGTGGGACAATCCTTACCTGTTACAGATCTTAACCAGCTTAACCTGTTTGTTGTTGTTGAGTTTTTTACTTTGGTGCACAGATTTCCCCAGTTTTTAAAAATTGTTTTTTATTAGCAGATATCCGGTAAGTAAAAACACACTAACAAGTATTCATTTATAATCTGATTTCTTGGGGGTTTTTTTGTGTGTTTTTACAGTGTGACCATAAAACTACTGTTAAACTGTATTTAAATGAGCTACACATCTCATTATTATCAAGATAATTGCTGTTATTTTCACCCTCCTTTTTTGTTGTTGTTGTTTTTTTGTTTTACAGTTGCAGTACTCCAACATTTTTTGTTGTCAATATTCGCTTTACTGAGTTTTTCCTTGTTGGTCTTTGGAACAGTGTGAGTACCTTACCTACCCTTGAAAGACACCTGATTTGAAATCTCCTCACTTTTAACCTTCACTTCTTCCCTTTGACCAATTGTAGCTGCTCCTTTTTTTCTTCATCACATGCTTACATGTTTATTTGTTTTTTTGCCATGAAAATAATATTTTCCTGCCTGAAAATGGCTCGGATGTAATGCTACACCATTGCTTCACCTTGAATGTGCAGTTATAACAAATCTTTGCCACTTACTGCAACTGGAGCACACCAGCTCACCTATGGCTTCAACCATACGAACTCTGGTGTGTTGGTCTTAATTACGCTGGCCGGCTATATATTAACACTTTGACTGTTAGACAATGAGCTCCAACAACAAACACTGTGTTCACTTCAAAATGTTTTTTTTTCTTTTTTCATACAATTACTTTAATGTTGTAGGTGGACAACAGCTGGAGTTAAAACAAAATTAAAAAAGCAAATGGAAAACTCATTTTTACACAACACACATGTAAGAAAAGCAATGTAATAATTAACTTCTTATAACACAATGTTTTGAAAATAAATATTTATACAAATATTATGTAAATATTAATTTCACCCAGAAATATTATTAAGCACATCAGTCGAGGTGTGCGTCTCCCACTGCAGCATTGCACATACAGTACTGCCCTGCTCTTCAGGGAAATGTAGGTAGCTTCTATGGAACAGTTCAACATTTGGAAGCATGATGTGTACGACTGTCAAAAGGCATGACACAGCTGTCAAAGCAATAATACACAGGCATCATTTTAAGGCCATATTAATGAAAGCCAATGCATATTTTTACTACCTGCGTCATCCTTATCTTAGTACAACCTACTAATCTGCTGGTTTAAGGCAAAACTGCCCATCAGAGTCACATCAAAAAGGTGCCAGTGTATTGATGCCTTAAAATGGAAAAAGAAGGCAATGATAATGGTACATTCCCATCTTTTTTGCAATTGACAATATGATTTCTTTGAGTTTATATCTATTTCTAGACTTAAATTATCCCCATCCCTTTTCTACTACTATCATGCAAACATCTACAGTTTGTGCCCTTTGTAACAAATAATAAGCACCAGTATTGTCTTTTTAGTCTGAACTCCCTCCTACTATAGGAACCTCCAGTGTTTGACTTTACAGAAGAACTATATTAGTTCAAATAAAGGTTGTTGCATATTATTAACATTGTAGCGTACCAAAGTCCGTGCATGTCTCCCTACTGCATCTGCATCAAGTATCTTTCTAAACTCAAGATATGGCTGGGAGTCAAAGTAAATGTGGGGTAGTACTATCATATTCATACCAGTGAAGGCTCGTAAAGTTGATGCAACTCTGTTTCGCCTGCACTTGCACCTTATTTAAATAGTTAATGGGTTAATGAATTAGGAGTGAGCCACATCTCCCAGACTTGACACCACAACCCATGAATCCTACTGCTTGGCGAAGCATTCCGCTTTGGCAAGATTTTACTGTCTGTCTGTTTTTCCAGTGCACGAACTCCAGAGATGAGAGAGGCGGTGTGGGGTGAAAATTCACTAAACCTCCCAGACGGTGGAAGTACCAACTGCAGAGAATCTGGAGATGCTGAGGATCCCCGGTTGTGTATGAGATGTGAGCCAAGGTAAGAAGTCATAACTGCAGACTTGGGAGTCCTGTGTAAGTAAACAAATAAGCACTGAAGACTTTGTGAACCATGTACTCTGACAAAACACTCTGTGGATTTGAAAAACAAAGGAGTAACGTGGTAATTTGGTGAGATTGAAAGACAAAGTTGCAAAGAGAAGTAAAGAGAAGAGTTACCAGCATTAGTACATATCACAGAGAGGTACGTTCTCTCTTTCAGAGTTCTGAATAATCCACTCTATAGCATCCCAACCCTACAGATTCACACGGAGAAAGAGAAGATTAAAGAGCACAGAAAGGTGAACCCAGAGACAGACAGGTGAACATCACTGGAAATACTCTAGTTTGACTGTATATCCAGTTAACTCACCCTGATCGAGTAGAGAAACTAACAGAGACAACAGATTTTCACTTGGAAGACATGCAAAGAAGTCATCAGTAATATTTTCATTATTTGAAGCTGTCAGCAGACCTATATGCAAAACACAGATTCATATTTACTGTATTTTGTGTTACCTTTCTGGCGTTAGCTGACATTCTCCTGGCCATCATCCCCTCCAGGTAGCTGCTTAGACTGACTCCCTTGACTGTGATGATAGCTTCCTGGGTCAGAACAGTGCTGTGAGACAGAGAAAACATGATTATTGTAAAATTGTGCACCTGTAAGAAGACAATGTCTGTCTCAATCTGGTCCCTATCTCTCTGTGCACTGACCATATACAGTCGTGACTTGATAATCAGACACTAAATGTAAAACCTTCTTTTATGTCAGATAGCAAGGCTGTCAGATTGTCAAGATGGAGGTTGAGAGACAAGGAGGGCTTGATGCTTGAAGGATAATTTGTTGTTAATATTTATTGTTTATAGTTGTTGTAATAGCTTATTGTTAGAACACTACGCATTGCTGGATTTCACGCCTAACTGACTGGTATGCTTGTGCACGGCCCGTCAGTTGACATCAAAGGTAAGTAAATCCACTGGATTGTTAAGTCAGAGAATACGTCGTTATTCTTATTGGTGACATAAAATGTCATGTCGGAGTCAGAATCCAAGGCTGTCGGTATGTTAAGGCTAGTTTTGATGGGTTCCGTTCGTTCTTCCTAAAAACCTGTTGGACAGCAAAGTTTTCGGATTGTCAAGGGTCAGAATGTCAAGTCAGGACTGTATATGCATTCACGCCAAAAGTGCTTTCAGAAATGAAATGCAAAGAAGTATGGCTTTAACTTACACCTCAGGGTTGTCAGGGTGTGGTCTGTAAAGAAGCCTCTCATCCACTGATATGAGGTTGGTGAGTGTAATCTGGGAGATAAAATAAATGTGGAATTCTTTCTCAATAGGATATGTACGAAGAACTTCCTTTTAATACTTTGATTTATTTTGTGTCCCGGTTTGTTCAATGACAGTTACAGCAAAGCTCAGAATAAACTTACATTTGTTGAGCACAACTCCATCTTTTTCTCCTCTGGGTCGACTATGGAATGCTCCTTTACGTAGGTCTGCGTATGGTTGGTTCCCAGTATCTAAAGACAGAAATATACACAATAAGTACATTAAATCAAACCAGTGGGGAGGGGAGATACTTGAACAGTTGATAATCATAGTCTGGACCCGCTTCAGACCCCTGCAGTACAAGTTAGAAACCCACCCCTTTGTCTTTTCCATGTGTATGTATTAATGTATATGTAGATTTTAGTGTCTGTTGATGACTGACCGCTCGTACGATACCCGGCAAGCCCCACTCTGTGCTGAGGAGTCTGTGGCTGTGAAGGCGTCCCTCTGCGTCCAGACTCCGGTCCAACACGTCCACCCCGACCACATTGGGGTTCATGGGGTTCGGGTATTTCCTCATGGCAGCCTTAATCACCGTCTCCCAAGGGTAACTGCACACAAACCAGCACAAAACAACAAAAAGGAACATGACTGATTACAACAATTACACTCCAGTCATCAAAACCTTCCAGTGACAGTGTAGACTGTCAGTCATCCAGGTCTTAGTAATCCTAAACGCAACAGTTTAAGGCAACTGGACTTTATTTTTGGTTTGTAAAGACTGGCTGCAAGGTGGCTCGGTGGTCAGCACCATTGCCTCGCAGGAAGAAGGTCGCTGGTTCTGCGTGGGTTCTCTCTGGGTTCTCCGGCTTCCTCCCACACAGTCCAAAAACATGCTGAGGTTAATTGGTGATTTTAAATTGTCCGCAGGTTTGAATGTGAGTGTGCTTGGTTGTCTGTCTCTAAGTGTAGCCCTGTGATAGACTGGTGACCTGTCCAGGGTGTCCCCTGCCTTCGCCCTAAGTCAGCTGGGATAGGCTCCAGCCCCCCCTCGACCTCAGTGAGGCTTAATAGGTGTATAGTTAATGGACAGAGACAAAGGATGTAAAGACTGCGTCAAAGAGATCTAGAAAAAAACTGGAGTGTACAGACCTATATATAGTAGAAACTAAACAAACACGACAGTTGGTTTGATTGCAGAGTTAAGGAAGCAATCTATGTAGCTGTCCTTGAAACAGAAGAGGGGTCTACAACACTTACAGTCCAGTCTTAACATCCCTCCTCATGCATTTTTACAATCAGTCAACACCTTGTCATGCGATTTGCAAGTGAGAATAAATAACCGGGACTCCCCAGCAGTTAGTTAGAATTAAGGAAGTCACTTAGATAAGAGGTGAAATGTATTCAAGAACTGAAAAAGAAGCCCAGTTGCATTCTACTGAAGCACTTAATACTTCCAGTAAGTTGTACATCTCTACTGTAATAATTATCATCCTTGCTATGAATCAATAGGAAACATCTTTAGTGACATTTTTGCTGGTGTTAATGTTCATCACTAACTGCCACTAGGCTTTTCATACAGCGCAGATGGAATTTAGACAGTTCAGAATTTAATGCGCCAGTTGAAACTCAGTTAATGAAGCTGGAAGTGTCACCAGTCCAGTCCTGCAATACCATACCAGTCCAAACTGCTGTATTAACATTCTGAGCAACCAACCACAGTGAGCGACCAACCTGAAAACATGTTCCGTGCTCCAGATCTTCATTTTTCAAGTCACAGTCTTGACCTTGTCGCTGAAAAAACAAACACCCGTGATGCGTAACTACAGCTCACCGTCCCATTGTCATAAGAGGAACTAAAGCTTCAGTAATCATAGATTGGGGCCTGTGATAGAAGCTCACGGCCATCAATGAGGTGAATCCAGGAAACACATCTCCACCGGTCCTGGCATATCAGCCGCGCGTAAAGAGCGCGCAAACAATGGGTAAACGGCTCTGCTGACCTTCGAGTCACGGTACACTATTTATTTTTTTGATGGATAGATAAGAACAAATAGCTTAGACAAGAGAGAAGCCGGTGCAACGGCAGAGCCACCTAGTGTCAAGTCACACAGACTGAGATGCAAAAGGCTGGTCAAGAATTCAAAAATAAAACCGCTGCTGACTTTTCCTGATTGAAGCTCTTGTTTTACAGACATCATTCTCAGTCTTAGAAATGTCTCACAGTGTAAAGTCAAATATTTTAGAAATACTGGATTTTATTAGAAGTGACTTTTTCCGTGTGACACAAAATGTTATCTCTTAGCTCCACTTTTGAACAGCTGGGGATCAAAATGCATTTGTCTAATAACACCATCCTACATTGTTCATCTAAGACCTTTAATGTGCTTTTATGTAGTAAACTGTGCACTCTTGTATCTATTTTGCAACGATACTGGCTCGTTTTAATGTATAACTCGGTCTAGAATTGGCCACACAGTCCTGCTGTTCCTGTCTGACTCTGTTTGTGTTCGCTGACTTGACGCAGCTGATGTCGCTGCTGCCGCATCCGCCTCCATTTGTGCGCATGCGTATAGCATCTTTCCATCATCCCCCGACAAGTGGCAGAAGAGGAGCGGAGCTGCGTGAAGCTGCACAGAGACACCGTAAACACGACCGGAATCTGAGCGATGCTGGTTTCAAATTAAAGTCCGAGGTGTGCAAATTAAACCAAAACGAACAAAAAACAGAATATAAAATCAACTGCTGCAATAACATATTATTTTATTACGCTGAAAATTTCTCTGTGCTCTTTTAAAAGTTAAAGGATGAATCTTATTATTTTTTTATTATTTTTCTATTTATCTTGAAATTGCTTTAAGACAAATGACATGGAGCTCTTTGCACATCTAGTTCTGCTGCATGGATTTCTAGAGACTTCGACTGTACTTATGTATTGTACTAAAGTGAACTTATATTCATGTAATTTGTCATTAATAAACCTTTCCAATATGCTATGTTAAATATTCGTATATTTTCATCATTTCAATTGCCTCTCGAGGCCTGTAGGATCTATATAAAGGGTCACACTTAGTTGAATTTACACAGTCCTGATGGTTGGAGGTTCATCTGATTATTTTGGGATACGTGTCTTCCTATAGAATGGGAGGAATTTTGTTGAGTTACTATTTAAGACGGCTTCTCTGTGTCACAAACTATTTGCCAGATTAAGTTTTAAAATGCTTCAAATGAATGTATTTTTGCAGGTTAGACAGCGTGCAGGAGTTATTTGTTTTTGTTCAATTTGTATGAAATGTATATTTTCTAGCTTTTCTTATGGGAACTATTCGTATATTTTTTTGAAAGTCTGACCGGAAGTTGAAGGTGCATTCTGCCTGCCTTGACGCTCGCGCTGCTGAGATCTGAGGAGCAGTTCATTGAAGCAGATGCGCAGTGGAGGCTAGTATGGTCCCTTAACGAGAAATTCGTGCCATCGCCGTTCATTCAGCGGCCCGTTTATCTCATTCTGGACACCAAACTATCGATCAGTCCATATCAAACGTGATCAGTCGATTAGAACCCGGAGTAGTGCACATTGCATGACCTTGCATTGAATGTCATAGACGGGATTTTTTAAAGCACCGACACGGTAAGGTAATAAGCATCCTCATCCGCGCGGAGTAGCCAAGAAGGCGAGATCAATGTCGATAATCTGGTCAGCTGTGTGATGCTCGCAGTGTTGAATTTGAAACCACATCTGTTTTTTTTTATATAAGAAGCGATGTTTTTCCAGGTCTAAGATGGAAACAGATCAGAATTTTTTTTTTTTTTTGAAATTGATAATATGACTGCTCGTGCAGCCTGTGGTTGAAGGCCGGACTGCCGCAGAGAAGCCAAATTCGTCTCACAAATTAGATTCACACCATGAACACAGTGGCCTCAGCTTATAAGATATCCAAAAGTCTGCGGTTAAATGTATATTCAGACACAGATGAGCGTTTTATTGTTGAAATAGTTTATTGCGGACATGCATGACTGTGGCAGATGCAGCAGCAGCAGCGCCTGATCCGAGAGAGGAGGGGGATCATTAAATCACATCGTGCGCCTGGATGTGTCCGCCGCTGATCAGTCCGTCTGTCTGGCTCTCTATAGGATATGACCCATTTCAATGTAAAAGTGGGACACGAGGCAACCCCCCTCCTCTCATTAGAAGGCCACCAGGTTGGCTGTTGGACGCGTTCAGGCCAAAAATCTGCTGACACATGCGCTCTGCCGGCCGGTGTCCCCAGCCTTTGTGCGCAATGACGCCTGTGGCCCATCTATCAAGGCCTCCTGGGACTCAGAGGGCATATAAACTGGCCTTCTGCTGGCCCTTTTCTTTGATCGTAAAACAATGTAAAGTTTCCACATTTGAGAAATCAGCAGGATGACACTGTTGCTTACTAATGTGTGACTCAGTGGATTCAGCTGTATTTATCAAAACGCTGTGATTTTTAAAGGCCTCCACTTTCACACTTCTCTGTTCCATTTCAGGTCATCGGCCACAGCCATGGAGATTGTCACACATTTAATTAACGACACCATAGAGTTCTATAAATGGACCCTGACCATTGCAGGTAATGCTCCCATACCTTCAGTGTGCCATGAGAGCAAGTGAGTAAATACACATTATCCTGTGTGTGTGGTTGTGTATATAGTATGCATACATTTGCAGGTATGAGTCACGATGAGTGAGCTGGAGTAAAAGGATAGCACTTCAGTGAGAATTTGTTAAGGAATGAGTCACAGTTGCACATTTATTGACACAGACTACACTGCAGCAAATTGACTTTAATGCATCCTCGTTGTTTAAATGCCTCCTGCAGGTGAAGCCAGGGAGGAATTATAGTTTTCATTTGTTCCTGGGAGTCAGACGAGTGAAATCTTTTGAGAGTCATCATCTGCAGACTTTCTCAAAGTATTCCATTAAATAAGGTCGACATCAAGCTGACCTCCAGACGGCTCACCTTGGGACAATACCCGTTATCTGCACTCCCACTCAGCACCTGTTTGACCTGCGCTCCGTTTAAAAATAAGCCGACACTGAACCCACGTTGCGTTAGTGTAATGTGAACATTAGGAATATTTATATAATGCTGTAAGAACATCTGTCCCGCAGACAAGCGAGTGGAGAAATGGCCTCTGATGGACAACCCTCTGCCCACGCTGGCCATCAGCACCTCCTACCTGCTCTTCCTCTGGCTGGGGCCCAAATACATGAAGAACAGGGAGCCCTTCCAGCTCCGCAAAACCCTCATTGTCTACAACTTCAGCATGGTCTTCCTCAACTTCTTCATCTTTAAAGAGGTAGACTTCTGTACTGTTTGGATGTTTGAAGTGATCATCTGCAAAAAAAAAATAAGAAAGAAACTGCTTGTAGTCTCTACATTATTTGATGTGCTCTGTTTCCTACATTATAACCACTCCAGTCTTTAAATCACTTTCAGTAGCTTCAAAAGACCAGTTCAACTCATATATATGGTTTTCCGCCTACTGAAAAGTGATTGAAATGTTAATAATGCATCAAAATGACTTGATTTCATTCATGTTTTAGATTGTAATGCATAGGACAATTGAAAAAGAGATAATTTCTTTATTTTAGATATTTAGAAATCCCTCTATAAATCATGCTAATAACGGTTTAAACAGGAGTATTAGACAGACCAAACACATACAGCCTCGACATCATACAGGGCTCAAGTAAAGATTATTTTCTGAATTAATCAATTACTTTTTCGGTTTATAAAATGTCAGAAAATGGTGAAAAATGTTGGTCAGTGTTTCCTAAAGCCCTAAGTGAGATCCTCAGATGTCTCGTTTTGCCCACAACCGACAGTTTACCGTCACAGTGGAGTAAAGAGACCAGAAACAAATCCTAATCTCTGGAATCAGAGAATAAAAATCAATCCAAAAAAACAGTTCTTTGGTCACAATTGTTCAGTTACAAGAAACATTAAAGTTTTACAAAGACAAACCTTTGCTCTCACTACAGATAGATTTTTTTTTGGGCACATTTGTCCATGAGTCTAGAAGCTGGAATGAGGGCATTGAATCTGTGGAAGTCTTCTTAAATTCTCCTAAATGAGTTTGTTACAGCGTCAGTTTTTGTCCTGTGGGTTTAGACTAACCTAATTACAGTGTACTTAGCATTTTTCTTGCGCTCTCTTCTTCTCTCTGTCACTCTCACCACGTGTCTTTGTCTCTTTATATGAGCGATTCAATAGAGATACTCTGTTGTTTTTTTTAGCTGTTTATGGCAGCGCGGGCGGCACGATACAGTTACATCTGCCAACCGGTGGACTATTCAGATGATCCTAATGAAGTCAGGGTGAGTGTTACACAGACACACACGTTTCATTCTATAAAACATTTGCTTTAATGGCTCCACCTGCTCTATTAGGGAGCTTGCTTTCTTTCAGTTCACGTGTATGCTGTAATTAGCTTTCTAGAAGAAACAAAACACCTCTGCTAACTTTCACGGATAGATCCAGATCTTTGTCTGCTATTGTGCTCTACTTTACCCAAATGATCGAGAAAATCCATGTCAGCCTGCCAGCGAAGCTTTACTCAGGGCGGTTTTAGAAACATGATCAGCCCTCATTCATTTGAACCCGGGTCCTGTTATCTGAAAAAGCTGGAAGAGGGATGGTGAATGGTGTTCAGTTTCACCTACGCTGCTGTTGCTCCATGACGTAGCTCCATGCTGGTCACAGAAACCAGGAGGAAGTCGGTTTCAGGTGACCCTGGTGCGACGATGTCAAAGATCAGGGCAGAGAGCAAACATGTTCTTCACACAATTGTGACTTCTGATTATATTCAAGGATTCCTCTTCTATTTGTAATAATAACTATAATAACTTTATATATTTATATGTAGCATTTTAAAAAAAAAAGGGTTTGCAAAGTGCTTTGACAGACAAAGCAAAAGCAGGATACCCAGAAGGCAAAATTAAGAGGAATTTAAGATATGCTTAAATCAAGAGGACAAAAATGCAAGTACAAAATGCAATGATAGTATAAACGGATACTACTACTACTACTACTCATAATAATAATAATAATAAAAACAATTAAAACCTTAGTAAGCATAAAATTAAGATATCACATAAAAGCAAGAACATAAAAATGGGTTTCACCAAGTGATTTAGAAGAAGTCAGTGATTCTGTGAGCCTTCTCTGCTCAGGCAGGTTGTTTTAAAACTGAGAGGTTTTGATCACAAAAGCACAGTCACCTTTAGATTTAGGCTTCAACAGTAGCACAACCTGAAGGTTCTCCATCTGAGGATTTAAAGCTCTTGTGGTGTCAACATTTCTGCTCTGTAGCTTGAGGCGAGACGTGCATCAAAAGTAAACGGTAAAGCCTTAACATGATTGCTAACATGAACAGGGAGCCGCTGTAGAGAAGCCAGGTTTGAGGGTCCTCTGCCAGAGTACCTTTTGGTTTGTGTCAGCAAAGGAGAGAATCACAGTAGTCAAGCCTGAAGAAAATTTGTGCATGAATGATTTTAAAGTTGTATTTGTAAGCGTCTGCACTCTCCTCTCGTTTGTTCACCTGTACCTATCCTCACACAGGTGGCAGGAGCTCTGTGGTGGTATTTTGTCTCCAAGGGAATCGAATATCTGGACACTGTATTTTTCATCCTGAGGAAAAAATTCAACCAGGTTACCTTCCTGCACGTCTACCACCACTGCACCATGTTCACGCTCTGGTGGATTGGCATCAAATGGGTGGCAGGAGGACAATGTGAGTAGCTCATGGCACAGTAACTGGCAGCATTAGGGTTTAGGCCTATTCCTACACTAAAAAAATAAAAATAAATAAAAAATAAAAATGAAAAAAAGACAGTTTTTTACTCTTTTTTTTTTTTTTTTTTTTTTAAAGGAAACAGTACTGGAATATCCCGGCAGCTTGGGTAGCAAAAACACTTGAAAATAACTGAAAATAGCAATCTTATTAAAATACAGCAACTTTCCGCAACAGAAGTCTACAGTTTCTATGCTTAAGATTACATATCATCATGTGTATTTCTTTGGCTTTTTAATGTTTAAGGAAGAGTGTTTACATGTGTAAAATATATATTTTGCAGTTATAGGTTTTTAAAATGTTATTCTATCTGAGGCATTCAAATTCGATTTTATCTATTTTAGTAATTTTAGTAAACTGTTCATGTACTGCAAAAATACAGAAAAAATTTTTTTAAAGGAAAAAGTACATAATTTTAACTTCACAGTTTCCATTTCTCCAGACTATACAAGCAAGCTGAAATTGAAATTGCTTTTGATACATTATCCATCACAGCATACAGTTCATGGCCAAATACATGCTATCAGAGTGTGGAAATGCAGCTTACAATGATTCTTAATATTGTTCAGTATACATTTGTAGACACATGTTTACAGTCATGCTTGCAGCTCTGTAAGGCTCTACCACTTACGGAAGTACTTTAAGCTAAATACTAGCAGTTGCAGGGAAACATGCTCATAATGGCAATACGAACTTGTTGAAGTTTAGCAGGTATAATATGTTCATATATATTATCAAGTTGTGCAAGTGCAGCTGCGGTCATAAGTCATCGTGTAACGGAGTTAAGGCATCACCAAAACTAGAATTTTTCATCCAGATTCTCTAGATATCATGAAAATGCATCTTTACAGTTGCACAAACGTGACCTCGTTATATTTACCGTAGTTATGTAAATGTCTGCAAAATCTCATGGTAATTAATCCCACTGTTTCAGTCTAGACAGAAGTGGTGTCTTACTTACTGATTGTCATCACTGGAGCCAGCCTGCATGGCTGATAAGAAGCCAACATTATTGTCTTTTTAATAGGAAAATATAGTCTGGGATTCAATTCTATTGGATTTGAGAGTTGTGTATGCTACATTAGCACTGCAGTTACCTAAAAAAATGTAATTTCATTGGTTTTCTTTTCTCCTATTTGCAGCATTCTTTGGTGCACACATGAACGCAATGATCCATGTTTTGATGTATCTGTATTATGGTCTGGCCTCCTGTGGACCCAAGATCCAAAAGTACCTGTGGTGGAAGAAGTACTTGACTATTATCCAGATGGTGAGAAACCTCTGCTCTCTGTGGCTGAGTTCCCTTTGGAAATGTAATCTTATTGAATATTGAAGTGAAATAATGAATCACACAGTTAAAGCCATTTTGAGAAGCTGTAAAACCATTATGCGGTGCAAAAATGTATTTCTCTCTTTGCGTCTCAGATTCAGTTCCACGTCACCATCGGCCACACGGCCTTGTCGCTCTACGTCAACTGCGACTTCCCCCACTGGATGCACTACTCCCTCATCTGCTACGCCATCACCTTCATCATCCTGTTCGGCAACTTCTACTACCAGACCTACCGCCGCCAGCAGCCTGCGCGACGCGACGCCTCCTCTTCCTCCAAAGCGGGCAAGGCTCTCTCCAATGGCACCCTGAACGGGCTCAGCAAAGCCGCCAACGGAGCGGTTCTGATGGGCAGCAAAGAGGAGAAGCCCCAGGAGAACTCTGGGAGGAGAAAGAGGAAAGGACGGGCTAAAAGAGATTAGATGGAGCGGAGCCAGAGAGGTTCAGGTGAGGTAGGGCCTTGCTTTGGCTTCTAGGTTGAGAGTGCTAAAACATGCAAGACTTAATTTGAGGAAGATTTGAATGGATGGATGTGTTCAGGTGTGATGTGTTTATTTAAGCCATGATCTGAGTTGTTGTAGATAAAACATGAGACAGGCCTTTTGTTGAGAGAGAATGGTTCTGTTAGTAAGAGGTGTCAAAGGTCATACCGTCAGATGACCATTATCACAAATAACCCAAAATACAGTAGTGGCTGGTACGGGATAGATCTTTGTATTCCTTCTCTTTATTGTGGTGCCAAGTACGGTAGGTGTGGTTCATAAAGTGACTTTCAGCAACTAAAAACTGAGCCTGAAATGAAACAGAGTTTACTGGTCCCCCTTTGGCATGCTGGGAAAGCGACATACATAAATGCACCTGAACTGCTTTAAAAATAAAAAAGAAAAGAAAAAAGATGATAAACTTTCATGAATAGCAAACACTGCTGTATGGAGACAGGAATACACATCATAACACATGCACAAACATGTCAATTTATATTTGAGCGTACTTTTTTTGGTTTTTTTTGGTTGTTCACCTGTACAGATATAAAGCTGATGATTAAGTACACTATCATGTCATTTCTGTCCTCATCCTATTCAAGCTAGTGTTGATATTACCGGAGAGAGACTTTTAAGTTTACAGTTCCCGTCTGCTGATGCTGACGCCTCTGCAAATATCCATTTTTTTTTTTTTGTGCAGATGAAATTGTCTTATTTATTTTGGGATGTGGACTCTCACTTCTGAGCTGTCATCCGTGAGTGCACAGTTATATTCTAAGGAAGGAAAAATGAATCCAGAGCTGTACATAGAAAGAGAAAGCATAAATTTCCAACCCCTTGGAGGCTGTGATGACGTTGTTCTGTCGCTGTTTTAAGATGGAATGATGATCAGCTGTGGCTCGCATAGGGGTGAAATTTATACCTTTTATTTCTGTGCGCAACCGTAACCCATTTTGTATATCCCTACATGTGCGTAATGTGATGCAACGTCAAGAATATTATACAGAGAAATGATGGATCTGATGATTATCTCAGTGTTTCCCCGCCCTCTGACAGAGCAGCTGTTTTTTTTGTCTTTGCAGATGTTTACCTGTCTTTTTTATATTATATCCTCTCTGAAGTTGTCGTTTGTCTTCGACGCTGGTGAACATGTTGTGTGCCGAACAAAGACGCGCTGGTGGTGTTCTGGGTTCCCTTTTGTATTTATGGAGAATTCAGAGCTAGCTTACAACCACTTTTTATCATGTGAACTACCTTTGGCACTGTTTTTCTTTAGGTAAACTATCTTCACATATTCAATCAAATCTCTTTTTTTGCATCTGAGCTTTCAGGCTTGAATAATGTCCTGAGCTGGCTTGAATGTAAATTTCTCGATGTTATTTATTAGTTTATTGCTTATTTATTGTAAATACCGATTTCCATCTAGCTGAGAGTGCTCGTCTGTGTATTCGTCTTCTTTTTTGTGTTGTATATATTACATTGTGATATTTTGTACACTGCGCATTTGGGGAGTGTTCCCAGCTTGTTAGCTTGGACATTTATACGTCCACATTGCTTGTATGTGTGTTTTTTTCTTTCTTTCTTTCTTTCTCTCTTTTTTTTGGTATCATATCTTTGAACTCTCTTCAAATTAAATTAAACTGAATGCCTGTACAAACGCTGGCTTCCTTTAACTGTCTTCTTCATGATGCAGTGAACGTCATTGCCTGTTTTCAAACAGAATATCAATTATTTTACTTTCTATGTGGATCAAGACTATGCTTTTACATTTCTAACATGGTTTCTGGCCCTGTGATGGTCAAGCTAATGGATGAATGTTTTTTTTTTCGGAATAGTGAATTTCCAGGTTTTCAACACAAGAGGGCACCACAGTCCCACTACAGTAAATGGCCATCATTTATTATTCAGTCTGCTCACTGTATTCCCCATGTTTCAGACCAACTTCTGTAATTATGGAAAGAACTTTTCCTCTAGATAAAGAACTCTATTAAGCCATATGAGCAGAACAATTTAATCACTGTGTGAATAATAAACTTCAATTCCCAGTTATCAGTTTGGTATATTACGGTGCATTATCAAACCTCATTTTACACAGTGATGTTTTTTTGTTTTTTCTGCTACATGTTACTTGTGAAATGGACTGAAACCCAATATTGGAAAGTAATTAGGGAGGTCTATTAAAAGTATTCACTCACTGTGGAAGTTTTCCTGGTTTATTGTTTTTCAACATTGAACCATTGTCAATATATTTTGCTTTTTGTTTTTTTTTTACAAGAATGTACAAAAAGTGTCCTTCATGTTAAAGTAAAACGTGATTTCTACAAGGTGATGTCAACTAATTAGAACTATAAAATGTAAAATAGGTGATTGAGTGAGTATTTTACCCGTCCAAGTCAGTATTTAGCAGAAGCACCTTTGGTTACAACTACAGCATTGAGCCTGTGTGGATATGTCTTAATCAGCTTTGCACATCCAGACATTTTAGTTTTTAATTCCATTCTTCTGCAAAACTGTTGAAGCTCTATTACCAGGTTGCACAGGGATCACCATGTTTCACGGTGGAGATGTTGTGTTGACCATGCTGGTGTCATCACTTCATCATTTTGGGTGTTTTTAACAGTGGCTCTCTCTTTGCTCTCCAATAACGATTTGACTGGTAGAGAACCTGGGCAGCAGTTGCTCTATGTACAGCTCTCTGATCACCTTCAGGGGAGTCATAGGTGTCTTGGTGGCCTCCCTCAGATGTCTCTTTCTTGCTTAGTTGCTCAGTTTTTGAGGACGGCCTGCTGTAGACAGATTTACACATGTGCCATATTCTTCACATTTCCTAATAATGAATTTAACTGTACTTGAAGGAATATTCAGTGACTTGGAAGATTTACTTGTATCAATCCCCTGACTATAGCTTTTCAATAATCTTTTCACAAAGTTGCCTAAAGTGTCCTGATGTCTTCATGGTGCAGCTAAAACCAGGAGCACAGATTTACTAGTGAATGGACTTTTCAGATACGAGTGTTTTTACAATCACTTGAAACATAATCACTGCACTGAAATGATCTCCATTTCACTGATTGTGTGACTTCTAGCATCAGTGGGCTCACCTGTGTTGAATTAAGCGAGTCACTTTAAATGGAGCGAATAGTAACTGTATGTAATCACTTATTCTACATCTTATATTTGTAATTAATTGACTGTAGGTACTAGAAGTGCTCCAAAGAGGACTTTGCTCATTTGTGTGATTTAAACTGAGCTTTTCATCTGACAGGTGAATGGTCACAGGCAGAGCTCTGGAAACTTTGGATGAAACGACACTGAGAGAGCTGAATTTACAGCTAGCAGGCTGTTAGTGGTTTACTTTATGTATTACTGACTAAACCCTGCATCCGAGCCTAATCTGTTGTTGTTGTTGTTATTTACTTCACTAAATCTACAAGTTTAGTGAGGGAAATTCCACTGACGAGCTTTAATACACATGTTGATTGAATTCTGATGTGCTCATAATAATAAATGCCATTCCTTAAACGTTTTACCTTGTTTTCCTTGTTCTAACTCCACTCTGCTACGACCTGCTACTAACTTCCGGATACCATTGAAATGCTTCACGAGCCGCCATTGTTGTAAAAACAAACGGTCCATTGCAGTCACCGGAAATGACGCGACTCTCTCTGTCAATGGCTCTGGTCACCTGCGGTCACCTGACACCTGGACCTCCTACCTGCAGGACGGAAACAAAACCGCAGCGCGCCAAAGTCTGTCCGTTAACTGGATCATAAACCTCCACAGCAAAGACTGTTATTGAGCTTAGAATTTCCAACTCTTCCGAACCTGCACTCCAGTGATCGGATCATCGGAACCACACAGAGGAACTTTTTCCTTTCATGGACTGCTGGTAACTGAGCATCACACAGCTAGCATAGCTTAACAATAAACACAGTTAAGTATAGGACTGCTGATGTTCATGTGCACATACTGTTTTATTAAAGCTGCAGAGCTGCATGTTGTTGTAAGATTCAGTCATCTGGCTCCACATGGTAAAGTTAATGTTACTCAGTCTGCACACAGATGCAGGATCTTGCATGCAAACTAACATCCTCTTTTTCTGACCTGGTGGCACAATGATCCTCTGAAAATTACACTTGATCTTATTGGGCCTCTACACAAACATACACAGGGAGAGAACACTCAAACCTTCAGTCTCTTTTGTTCTGGTCTAACAGGAGGGCAAAGACAAAAATACACACTCTTCTGTCCTCTTGTAAGTACATTTAGTTAGATTATTTTGTGAATATTGTGTGTTTTGCTTCTATTTTCTTTAGCACATGTTTTGTTTGTACCTGCTGGTCTAATTCATGTCGCAAAAGAGATATTGATATGGCAATTCGATTATAGTTTAGTTTTGTTATTATTCAGAATATCGCATTGATAGTTTTGTGTATTTTATGAGACTGATTTATAAGACTGATTTTCAGTCTAAGGTGGTGCCCAGATTTTTGGGCGATTAATGGAGAATAATTGAATAACACGGTTGCCATTTGGAAATTGTCTTGCATCCATGTCCTTCTTATGCTTTCCAGTAACCTTTCCATGCAGTTGCTTGGAGTGTTTTTTGCCTTTATTTTGTAGTAAAAACCAGGAGCTCAGATTCACCAGTGACTGGACCTTCCAGATACTGACATCTTTATATATCACTAGCTTGAGACACATTCTCTGCACACAGATGATCTCGATTTCACTTACTGGGCCACTTTAAAGAGGAAGGAATACTTAAGTAGTCAATTATTTTACATTTTATGCATTTATTGAATTTTCGTTTCTTTTTTTTTAGAAATCTGGTTTCACACTGAGGGGGGGGAAGTCTTTTTTTTTTTTTTTTTGAATTGCTACTGTAAATGCCAAATCTAAGTATTTGGTATTTTGCTTGAGCGTCTCCTTTTTGCTAC